CCCCCGACAGGATCGTCATCAAGCGGCTGGTGCTCAGTGGCCACCCTTTCAAGATCTTCACCAAGGCGGCCGTCGTGCGATACATGTTCTTTAACAGAGGTACAGCCTGTGGGGTGGGGAAGAGGGGATGTGGGAGCAGAACTCCTGTCCCTGTGGGAGTGGTTGTGTTGGGGCAGCAAAGCCTGTTTCTTAGTTTCTTACCTGCCTTTTCTCTTTTGCTCTCCAGAGGATGTGATGTGGTTTAAGCCAGTAGAACTGAGGACAAAGTGGGGTCGAAGAGGACACATCAAGGAGCCATTAGGTAGGTTTGAGTCTGTGTTTATCTCTGTGCTGCTGGGCAGGGTGTAGTCCTTGTGGGCAGGAGAGACAGCTAATGGCCTCTTCTGCTCATTGCCTAGGGACCCATGGCCACATGAAGTGCCACTTTGATGGACAGCTAAAATCTCAGGACACGGTGCTGCTTAACCTCTACAAACGTGTGTTTCCAAAATGGACTTACGACCCGCACGTCCCAGAGCCCGTGTCCTGGGAGAGGAGTGAGAGCACAGTGCCAGAGGTGGAGATGGAATGAGCCTTTGTGCCTCAGCTCCCTGGATGCTGTTCTCAGCCCGTGCACAGTGAGGACAGCACTGATGTCCTGGACCTGTTACTGCTGGGGTCTGTACAGGGGCAGCTGTCTCATCAGCTGCTGCTCAGGTACCAGCTATAGATATTTATTTTAATTGAAAATATTTTTAAAAAACATCTAAGTGCCTGTGTCTTGGTAGTGGTGGTGGGCAGCTGTGGAGGCTGAGCAGGGAGGCTGTGTGCACCCCTTCTCTTGTAAACCCCATGGCCCACTGGAGTAGTTGTCTATCCCTTGTACCCTGCCATAGGGTCCAGGGATTTTGCTGTTTTGAGGACAGGAGTTTGTTGGAAGTTGATGCTGATTGTTGATGTTGATTGTTGATGCTGAGGAAGAAAGGGAAAGTAGCAGGTGGGGAAAGGGACTGAGTGCAGCTCACTGTAGGCTTGACTCAGAGCAGGTGGCTGGGGAGAGGAGAACAAGAAGCACTTTGCTTTTAGGCCCTCTCAGTAGTGACCCTTTGCTTTGGAACCAAGTGACTGCTATAGAGACCAGCTTCCCTCATCCCGCACCAAGAACTTCCAAACGTTTAGGGTCATTAATCTGTTTTTAGTAGAGCACAAACCAGACTGTACAACTGCAGTGCGAGGTTTCTGCTGCTCCAGACACCACTCCATTCTCATTCTGCTTTCCCAGGGAGGTCTGTGAGCCAGGTCAGGGAGCTCAGGTCCACGTTTCCCCCACAGAGCACGACACAAACGTTCTCCACATCCCGGGGGATGGCCTGGAACTGCTCCGAGAGCACGGCTGCCACTCCCACCCCCGCTGTTGGCTCAATCAGCAGCTTCATCCGTTCCCACACCAGCCGTGTGGCTCTCTGTGGGGACAGAGCAGCAGCTGTCAGCCCAGCAGTGAGCACAGGCAGCTCTGGGCTGCCAAGGGCACCATGTGTACTCCCTGGGGAGGGAGAGCAGAGCTTCCGCCAGCTTCTTCCAGCTGGAGATAGTGTGGGTGTTGTGCAGCTGGTGTGAAAGGGGCTTGTGCTGCCCTGGGGGGGCGTAGGGGTGAAAGGGGCAGAGTGTATATGGAGGCAGTTGCCATGAGAAGGGAACAGGGGGCCTTTACCTTGATTTCTTCCTCTGAGACTGTGAAGACATCATCAACCCAGTCCCTGATGATGGGCCACGTGGTTGGTCCGATGCTGGTTTTAACTGCATCTGCGATGGTGTCCGGCGGGTGAAGGTTGGGGGTCAGCTCCCCCCTTACCTTGGACTGGTAACAGTCATCTGCATTCTGTGGCTCAGCAGCAAACACCTTCACATCTGGTCTCAGAGCCTGCAGGGAGCAGGAGGAGCTGCTCGGGTTGGACTACCTGCCTGTCCTCTGCTGCTGCATGCACAGGCAGCCAAGCAGGCCACGCTGCTGCCGGGCAGCCCCAGCCAGCCATGGGTTTCCCCAGCAGGTCTCTGGTTTTGAAAAGAAAAGCTGCTGGCTGACTTTGGGAGCCCTGTCCTTCCCAGGGGGAGATGCAGCCACTGCTCCCTCCATGAGCTGTTGCCTACCTTTATGGCCACAGCTATTCCTGCAATCATTCCTCCACCTCCAACAGGAACCACCACTGCGTTGACCTCGGGTGCCTGTGCAGAAAGGAATCGGTCCTGGTATCTCAGGTTCCCCCTTTTTGCTGTACCCCTGCCCATGAGGAGCAGAGCCCTGGGCTGGGGCTGGGCCCTGTGTTTCCCTCACCTGCTCCAGCACCTCCAGGGCAATAGTGCCTTGCCCTGCGATCACTGCTGGCTCCTGGTTGGGGTGCACCATCACTCCTCCTGTCTCCTGGACTACACGAGCTGCTGTCTCTGCTCTGGACTAAGAGATAGACAGCACGTGATTGCCTCTGTGCAGCTGGGCTGTGACCCTGCTCAGCCTCCCTGTGCCCTCACCTCGTCACTGGGCTCACAGAGCACCAGTGTGGCACCATAGCTGCTGATGGCAGCTTGCTTACAGCACGGGGCTGTCCGGGGCACCACGATGTAGGCTGGGATCCCTGTGTGATGAAAGAGGAGGCAAATCTTAACAGCCAAAAAGCTGCAACCAGCTGGTTGGTGTTGCAGGAATGAGGTGATGCAGCCGTGTTGAGGAGAGGGGCACCCTGCTTATCTCCAGAGCTGCCTCTGCCCAGGATCCACCTCTGCATCTACTCCTGGCCCTGTGCCTGCTCCTCCCTGGGATGGAGCTGCAGCTTGGGGTACCTGTTACCTTCTGCCTGGGCAGCACAGGCGAGTGCCTGGCCATGGTTCCCGCTGCTGTGTGTCACCACGGCACGGGGCAGCCCCACACCAGCACGCTGGGTGTCCTCAACGAGGGTCCTGACGGCGTTCAGGGCACCACGGATCTGGAGAGAGCACAGCCCCCTCGGTGCTGCTGCCCAGGAGCTGGCACACGGGGCAGTGCAGGCACAGGGGGAGTGTTGTAGAATCACAAGCTGATTGGGTTTGGAAGGGACCTTAAAGATCATTTAGTTCCAGTCCCCTGCCATGGGCAGGGACACCTCCCACCAGCCCAGGCTGCTCCAAGCCCCATCCAACCTGCCCTTCCACACTGCCAGGGATG